AAACTGACATGAATTTGGTTTATTAGCATTTGTATTAGTAGCATGCTTTTTATCTATTGACAAAGTAAAGAATACAAATTTGTCAACATAGAAAAAAAAATATTTATAATAATCATAATTTGTTTCTATTTTTCAATTAATCTTCATGAAGAAATTATTAATGTTTACAAGAAAAAAAAAAGACAATTCAAACAAGTAAGTTCTATTGATATCTATTCGTATCTTTTTTTTCTCCTTCTTCAACTCAACCAGAATTTTTATCTTTCTAAGTGGGCGCATATCATACTTGTATTGTAATAGACCAATTACGAACTTCTTTATATCGGTCTATTACTTCTTTTTTTCTTTACATGTTTCTTTCGGGTTTGTTTTTTTTTTTGTTCGCTTTCGAACAAGGACAACTTTCGTTTCTATATTATATCGTGCGTTTTATGCTCTGTTCTTAACACGTAGTCAAAAATGTGCACTATTAGATTATATCTCATATATAATGCACTAATATTTCATTTTGATTAACGACTTTACAGAACTAAAAATATACATTTAGATCGGTTAATAATCCTTTTGTCTTACCTGTTCGTTTAATTCTGGACGACGATTATGGACTAAATATTTATTTTCAGGTTCAGCAGCTTTATAACCTAAATACGCTGCTGTACCAATAACAGTACAAGCGGCAAGTGCATAAAATCCTTTTTGTAAAGTTGACACTAATATGTCATTATCAATAATTGTAGTAAGAGAAGACATTTAAATTAAATTTTGAAGCATTAAATAATAATAATAAAAGTCCAAAGTGTATGTTACAATAATCACTAGATTAAATCAATTGTTTTCAAACAACAAAACAGCTGGAGATTGAATGTAATTTTTCTTCAATGGAAAAAAAAATAACAAAGAATAGACGAAATGTTGTCTAGCTTTCCCGTATATTGTGTATGGAAGTAACTATCTACGCGTGTATTTTTTCTCTATCGTTTTTACACAACTAATATCCTCTTCTTTCTTTTTTCTTTTCTGTTTCGTTTATATTTATTTGTTGCATTCGTTTTCTTTCTCTCTTTTTTTTTTTTGCTTCTCTATGTCAATTACAAAAAGAGAATATCATATAAGACGATATAAGTAATTTAGTACGTGGAAAAAAAACCAAGGGAAAAATGCACATATGGTCTATAATAGGAAGTTTTTTTTTTTTTTTTTTTTCTGTTTTATTATTTGATTAAATGAACTTTAATATACAATTGATCATAAGATAAAGAACACAAATATTTATGTAATTATAAACTATTTTTATTGTTTTATTGTTGATTTTTTCGTACCACAATTAGCAAGTTCAAAAGGTACACAATCATGTTCTTGAGCAGAATATGCTAAACCTTTATCACATTCCATCACACTATGCCAACCTAAAAATACACAGAAAAAAAAATGACAATGATTAAAATAAATATTTCAAGATAAAAAAAAAATATATCTATCTATCTGGTGGTGTACCCGTTCCGCAATAATGAAATTTATGGCAGTGAATTGGATCTGCGTAATAACCATTAACACGACCAGCACAAGTGA